TGTAAAAAAAAATTATTTTATATTTTTCCAAATGTGCGTTCAGATACTTGTGGATATTTTTTCTTGAAAACAATACGAGACTTTGCAGCCTATTCATTATGTATGATCAATAAAATAATGGATGAATGGACGAATGAATATTTAATTAATTAACAATAATTATTTTGAAAATGATAATCACCTCTATATATTCCTGAACGCCTATAAGTTCATTTTCAGTTCTTGGAAATTCTTGATACTTTTCAAAATATCGTAAAGCCCCTTCACAATCATTTTTTGACAATAAAATCTCGCCCATAACTAAATGTGCAAGCTCATTATCTGGATCGACTATATACATAAAAATAAATTTACTATATAGTCAAAAAAATATTTTAAAATAAAAAAAATTTAAAAGTACAAACTATCTAAAGCTCGCTGACAATAATTTTCGGCATCAGTAAAATTGTTATTAGGATGTAAAACAAGCATTGCTCTGTGTATTAGTGGTGATACAAATTTCCCTTTAGCAAACTCAATAGCCTTATCAAATTTTTCTATTGCTGTATTAATATCACCATTTTCAACCAACAGTTCACCGTAATAATTATAAAGTTCTGCTGAATCATTAAATTTCTCTATTGCATCCTCACAGACTTTAATCGCGTCTGCTATTCCTTTAGATTTGTATTGGCATATGACAAGTTGTATATAAGCATAAACAAATTCCGGATCAAGCTCTATTCTACGTTGATAATCATCAATGGCTTTTGAATATTCATTATTTAAAAAGTATACTATATATATATATATATATATAATTATTTATTCATTTAAAAAACATTAGTAATGTTAGAATTTTATAAATAATTTAGTTTCATATTAAAATTTGTTTACCTTGTCCTCTAATGTTATAAGATTAAAAATTAAGATTAATAAACGTGATAAATTATAATATAATGTCATTATAATAATTATTAGATCACCTGTGATAATATATATCAGGGTTATTCTCGTCAATTTCAATAGCCTTAGAAAATTCATCCAAGCATTCTTCAAGTTTTTCTAACAAAAACAGAAAAAATCATAATTGCTAATTAATGAATCCTCAATCAACCAACCAGCTATTCAACCAATACAATCAATATCATTAAATTCCATACTTACTGCCCTGTTCTGTATAAACTGTTGCACGTTTAATATGAACTTGTACATAATTCGGCTTCAACTCGAGAGCCTTTTCAAAATAGCTTAATGAACCTTCAAAATCCCCCATTAAGTAAGCAAAGGTTCCTCGCATATTATAAGCATAGTCAAGGTGTTCACATTTGAGTTCAATGGCTTGATCAAAAGCTTTCATTGCATCATTATATTTTTGCTGTGACAAGAACTCTTGTGCATCATTAAAATAATCATCGCCAGTTTTATCCTCTTGAGAAATCACAGGTCGAGTATCTGTCGCATCAAAAGCCACTAAAAATTTGTTTTTGATATACTCATTAATACGTACTCGCACGATAGTTTGTTATTATTATTAGAAAATATAAATAAATACTTTTTTGGAATGTTTCCAAATGTAAAGAAATCATCGT